GAAACCTGGATTATAACAAACCAGTCCAATCCGAGATATTAATAACAAACTTATCCTTTTGTTGTATGAAAGTGATCTTGCAAAGATCTAAAAATGGAAACCTGGATTTTGGACTTTCACAATAATATTGTTGGAAGTTTGAAAGCAAATGGAGTCCCACATTGGAGAAACCAAAAGGTTTCTCATGCTTTATAAGCATGAAACCTTTACACCAATTAAATAAGAAATTGGTGGTATGATGGACTTGGATGGTTGGCTTGCATGATGGGCTTGATTAATAATAATATTTAATTAATCAAGACTTGCATGGTTGGCTTTTATTAATAATAATATAAATATTTTTATTTTTATTTTCGGATTTCTTTTAGCAGAAGTTAGATTCAAACCAAAAGACTTATCTTTTTGTTTGAATTTTGAACACGAATAAACTGTTATTAACTGCAATTTCGAAGGGGTGCGAGTCTGTTATAAAACAGAAGTCCTATGCCACAATACGAAGATCTTTTTCATCCATTTCTTATTGCATTAAATTTTACAAACTGTATTGGAGAGAAACACACCACAGTTCGCCAGAATCCAAGGATCCGGTGCTGGACCCTTGGATTATAGATAGTTGAATCCTGGGAGATAGACGCCTGTTGAACTTCAAGCACTGAGAGGAGGCGAAATTCTGTCTTTAGGACATTGCGAAATACGCAAGCCTCTATCTACAATAAAAGTCAGTTTTCTGTATTTACTTTCTGTTTATACTATTAAATTATCATTGTAGTTTGCTGCTGTTATATTTCATCTGTGTCATCTTATAATATAAGCCATTTATTGATTTTTCCTAACAAATATTTGTTGTTTACGGAATGTCTCGCTCAACAACCGTTCGATATCGATATTTATATTCAGCAGTTGATATCATTATTTGATGAGTTCTTTTCGTCACAGGCTCACAGCTGTATGTGGGTTGCTCTCACAGCTTGGCATTAATATTGCATCTGATCGTGTCCTCACATCTTCGTTTCAATTTCTCTCACTGTTTGGCATTGTGCTGGAGATCAGTGAGATAATGTCAGGCTTTAATAATAGCATGTGCTCTTATCTTCTCAGCTGCATCTGAATTGCTCTTACGTACGGCTCAGGATTGTTCTGGAGGGAGATGGTGTGAGGCTCAAATAATTAGAGTATGGGGCAACGAGTGAACCACTACCTTCACATCATGGGCAATTGCTTTATCCGTAATTCAGAAGAAGAAAAAAGGAAGGAAAATCCAAATGGAAACTGACAAGACTTGTAAGAAAGAATCTAAAACCAGATATATGTATATTGACGCATACAAATAAAGATGAACAAACAAAAATATATTTGTCGATGGGCAAACATTACATGGCATGTACAGGTGGTGGTGTTAGTAGTTCACTCAAATTATAATATGTATGCCTGTCCGGCCTCCATGATGATTGTTTTTATCGTATATCTTGTTTTAATATAAATAATTTATGTTCTATGTTATCGGCCCGGGTACTGTTGAAAATATCTTCAACCAAAAAAAAAGTTGAAATCGTGTGATTATAAGTGTGACAACACTATATGAAAATAAATGCTTTCATGATATATAACACTGTATACGGTAACATAATGCATCCATGTGATAACAATAGGGACTTCGAAATAATGCCTTTTGAATACAATCGTGCTTTTATATTTCAGACATTAAAAAGCCCTATGTCCGGCCTCCATCCAAGGCTGGCCCTGGACTTGGGCACCGAGGGCGACAACCTAGGGCCCTGAAGGGAGCCTAAATTTTTTTATATTTGTATATGTTATATATCATTGTTGAGACTCATATTAAAAGTGATTTTTGGAGAGGGAATTAAAATCACTTCAAATCTTTAACAATGTAAGGGGATACATTTTAAAAAATTCAAATATGCAATTAATCAAACACTTTCTTCAAGATTGATGCAATTAAACTACTATATTTAACCCAAAAAGAAAATATATGTGCATAATTTTTTTTTCTTGTTACACTATGATTACATACAAAGGGAATCATTTTAATTTCTGGCCAAGGGCCACCAAAAAGTCAGGGTCGTCCATGCCTCCATCTTCATTATTGTATCATAATTTTATCTTGTCATTGTTGAAATAGTGATTTTTTAGCTGAACTCTACTCAGCCTTATCCTCTATAAATTCCATAGAGGATAGCCTCTATGAAAGTGTGAAAGTGTGAAAGTGTGACAGAAATTTTAAGAAATGGAGAAATCGACAATGTCAGCTGTAGTATTGGTGTTGAACCTTTTGGTCCTTCATCTTCAATATTCAGAGGTTCACTCGCTTGCCAGTACTTCTTCGGAGCATGGTAAGTTACTTCATCCGTAATTCAAAAAAAGGCAATCAAAAGGAAACTGACTGAGAATAGTGTCAGAAACGACCTCATTGATGCCTACAAGTAGATGCATGTGCTTTACACTATCGTTGCAACCAAGTTGTTTATGTATACTTTTAAAAACTCTTCATCTCATATTTTGCAGATTTTAGCTACCTGAAGTTTGTGTACAACGCCGTTGATATGGAATTGGAAGGATCATATGACTACATTATAGTTGGTGGAGGAACCTCAGGGTGTCCATTGGCAGCAACCTTATCGGCAAACTACTCGGTGCTCGTTCTAGAAAGAGGCACTATTGCTACAGAATACCCGAACACGTTGACTGTAGATGGGTTTGCATACAATCTGCAGCAACAAGATGATGGAAAGACACCAGTCCAAAGGTTCGTGTCCGAAGATGGTATTGATAATGTAAGAGGCAGGATCCTCGGTGGCACGACCATAATCAATGCTGGCGTTTATGCCAGAGCTAACGAGTCATTCTATAATAATTCAGGAGTTGAATGGGACTTGGATCTGGTTAATGAGGCATATGAGTGGGTTGAGGACGCTATTGTGTACAAGCCAAGTAATCAATCTTGGCAATCTGTTACAGGAACTGCATTCATGGAGGCTGGTGTTCTTCCGGACAATAGATTTAGTTTGGTTCACGAAGCAGGAACTAGACTCACTGGCTCAACTTTTGACAATAACGGAACCAGACATGCATCTGATGAACTGCTTAATAAAGGAGACCCGGACAACTTGAAAGTTGCGGTTGAAGCAGCAGTGCAGAAGATCATCTTCTCTAACGAAGCATCAGGTATGTTGCCTCTGAGACAGCTGCTAGTTTGTGATTCTCAACTCCAAAGTAAATATTTTATCATTTTAAAACATTGATAGCATGAGTACAATCTCATAAATTGTTTGATCATAGTTACAAGTTATTCTTCAATGCAGATTTGACAGCTGTAGGAGTCGTATATACTGATTCTAATGGAACGTCTCATCGTGCATTTGTAAGCGGTAAGGGGGAAGTCATATTGAGTGCAGGGGCACTTGGAACCCCTCAACTTCTACTACTTAGTGGTGTTGGCCTGGAGTCTTACCTAACATCTCTGAACATTTCAGTTGTTGCTTCCCATCCTTACGTCGGGCAATATTTAAATGACAACCCTCGTAATTTCATTAACATTTTGCCCCCAAATCCTATAGAAGCCTCAACTGTAACCGTTCTAGGCATTACAAGCGATTTCTACCAATGTTCTCTCTCGAGCTTGCCATTTGATACTCCACCTTTTAGTCTTTTCCCTACTTCATCTTATCCCCTGCCAAATCAGACTTTCGCTCACATTGTTAGCAAAGTTCCTGGACCTTTATCTGCTGGTAATCTCACTTTGCAATCATCCTCTAATGTCAGCGTCGCACCAAATGTCAAATTCAACTACTATTCAGATCCGGTAGATCTTACTCATTGTGTTAGCGGCATGAAGAAGATTGGTGTTTTCTTGAGTACAGACGCATTAAAACCATATAAAGTTGAAGATTTGCCCGGTATAGATGGTTTTAATATTTTGGGAACACCGTTGCCAGAGAACCAAACGGATGATGCAGCTTTCGAAAAATTTTGCCGAGACACAGTAGCCTCATATTGGCATTACCATGGTGGAGCCATTGTTGGAAAAGTGATTGATGGTAATTTTCGTGTTACGGGGATCAATGCATTACGCGTTGTCGATGGCTCTACGTTCCCTTCCACACCGGCAAGCCACCCCCAAGGCTTTTATTTGATGTTAGGCAGGTATGTGATACACACTTACTTGCAACCACTAGAAATTCTGAATATTATTATTAGGTTGAATAGCTTTTTTGTAATGAACTCTATGCCATATTGCTCTTTTTCATTCCTTTCAATTGTTGTGCCTTGGACAGGTATGTGGGCACTAAAATTGTGCAAGAGAGATCAGCTTCAGGGGAGGCTATTCATACTTCAACATTCAAACCGAAACTTATGGATTCCCTGAAGTCAGCATTATCCTTTGTTTTTTAAACTTAATCACGAAATAATGATGGCTCAAGTGGGATTAGGGTATCGCTGGCAAAGGGGCCTAGGTTCTTTTCTATCCCCCGTGGCTAAGGGCCCGTTTGGGAGTGCTTTTGGAACAATTAAAAGCGCTTTCTGACAACCCAAAGCCCTTATGACAGCGTTTGGTAGAGAAGTTTAGAAGCGCTTTTGGGCCATAGAAGTGCATTCTGGAGAAGCACCTGCCATGTGCTTCTTCAGGAAGCACTCCCAAGTGCTTTTCCAAGAAGCACTTCGATTTCTTATGAAAATTTTAACGTCTTTATAATAAAAGCGCTTTTGGTAGAAGCACTTATAAGTAGAAGTGCTTCCTAGAGAAGCAGTCTCAAACGAGCCCAGTGTTCCTCTTTATTTCTATATAATAAATTCCCCTTGTAATGTTGAGATCATCTATAAATAAATAAAAAAGAACCTTGTGCTTTCCGTTTACTATCCCTTGATGTTTTTTTCACTATTCAATAGAAATTTTTTTTTCTTCCCAGAAATTCAATAAAAGTGTTTCAACTACGATATAAAAACAAAGAATTAACTACACTTTAGTACTCGGAGGTTTAGGGTCAGTATCGAAATGGGCCCCGAGATTTCAATTTCATCAATTTCATACCCAACATATCCAAATATGACCAATTCACCCTGTCTGTTAGATTGACCGTCTAGTCAAACGTTAAATGCTGATGTGACAACTGTGGGCCCCACCACAGATCCTGACAGCCTAATACAACTAGTCCACATGAAGGGCATTTCAGAAAGAAAATTAAAGAATAATTTTTTTTAATATATATTTTTTCAAAACCAAAAAACATAAAACAAAATATCCCAGCAACTGTCCCTCCCCCAACCACCCTTCGTTGACCTCCATAGGCCCTCCCCCAGCCACCCTTCCTTTTCCACCGCTTTTGCTTTCACTATAGTCCTAGAGTACCCCCAAGCTCGGCGGCCGTGGCCTCGCCTTCATAATCTCACCTTCAAAGGGGCTTCCTGGGTCTCTTCCAAGCCAGTACCTTGGTGTATCCCGTTCTTCGAAGAACTTCTTCAATGGTGGCTGCAGAGAGGAAGACGACGCGGCAGCCCTCTGGCCCTGGAAGAATCACCGTCGTTGGAGTCGGCAAAGAGGAGATGCCAATTGAAAATCGAAGGCAGATCCTTCTTGATTGCTAGCAATAACCAACAAAAGAAGCAAAAAAAGAATTAATAGCCCATGTCAAAAGAAAAACATGAACAGATCAGAGAAAAAACAAACAAAAGAACTAATCAAATTGGAAAAGTAAAAGAAACCCAAGTGGAAATTAGTCTTGAAATTGGAAAATTTGAAAGAAAGTTTGGAAATTGATGTGATATGAATGCATAGCTTCGCTGTTTCTCTAACCTCCATGGATTTCTCAAGCACCTCACAGGTTTCATGGCCATCCATGAACATCAATGTCCAAAGAGTTCCATTAAACCCATCCATTCGCTCCACTGAATCAAAAAAGAAAACCCAGTAAGCAAAATACCAAAAAACCCACCAAGAAGCACTTCGAATCCAGTACAAAGCAAGATGAGGTAGACCCAAAGATTTACGTAAGAGAAAAAAATTGGAAACATATACAAGATTCTCAAATATTCAACATGGGATTCTGCTCAAGACCAATTCCAGAGGCTACCCATTAAATTGCAGAGAAATTCAATTTTGTATGTTTTTTTCCTCTTCTTCATCGCACATCGTCGGCGTCTTCTCTGGCGCTGACCGCTCCTATAATGATCGTGACTCCACCGTCGGCGGGTCACGACTGTCTCGAAGAGGCCGGAGCAAGAGTTCCACGGGAAGGGTCGAAATCGGAGTCAAAGATTATGGAAGCCAACGATCTTCTCTGCAACTCTTAGGTTTTTTAAAGCTTTTTCTTTTTAGAATGTTATTTTATTATTTTTATATAATTTTTTTTTAAAGATTGATTAGTGGGTGGGTCTCACGACTGTCACATCAAACATCTAACGTCTGACTTTAACGGTCAATATAACGGCGGATGTAAATTGGTAATAATTTAAAATAATGAGTATGAAATTGATTTAATTAAAACCTTAGGGCCCATTTTGATATTAACACTAAACCCCGAGGACTAAAGTGTAGTTAATTCAAAAACAAACTACTTTACAGCTACTCCCACGGACAGAGGGTATCCCGAGATTTCAACTTCAAGACAAGCGGGTTAAAAAAAATATTATATCTTCATCCTGCCGATGAATGGATTGGTAAAATTCAGCCTTCGATACTCAGTCTAAAGGACAGTATCCTATCGGATCAAAAAGGACAGTACCCTTAACTTTAGTTGTTTGTTTCTCATTAAAACAAGCATCCACGCAACGCAGATTTTTCTGTTTGCTAGATAAAATGTGGAGGTGAATCAAAGTGTAAGGGCCATACAATTATTGAGTAAAACCAGTACTCAAAGTAGATGTTTTATGATATGACTGGGAAATACAAATATCTAAATCGTTCACCCATATTATGATACATGAGCTATTATACCACACTGATCTAAACAAAAGCCTCGGTTAAAATGGCCGGTTGAATAATACCTAATATTCCATAATAAACTTCAAATCCTAGCTCTATCATTGCGTCTAATGTGTCCAAAGGAAGAAGTAAATTTGGAGATGTAAAGCAACTTTTACATTCCCTTCTACATGTGCATGCTTTTGTTTCTCTCTTCTTCTATAGATCACACCGTCCTTCACGGGATATTACTAATCCATGTGTTAGAATATAATATTGTAAAATATATTGAAAAATGTTATTCTTGTAGTTAAGTGAAGATGTGAATGTGACTGAACAAGATTGATGTATGATGTGATTGCCACTAGATCTAAATCGATATGGTGGTTCATCAAAAACACATGCATGCATGTGTTCAAATTTCCGTTCAATATATTTTCTGTAGTGAGATTGGTCACTTTCCATGCAAGTGTTGATTGAGTGAAAAGAACAAAACTTTCATTGATTTTCTGTTCAACTCCATCGTTAACACTCTCATCTCCAGCTCTGAAAATGTTCTTCATGTCCAATTCCAAGATCCATAGGTGGTGGTAGTTTGTTGTTCTTAAACCACGTCGTATAATCTATTTTAGCAATATATCCGAAGTAATATAACTTATCATAATGGGAAAATCAAGTATTTAGTGGTCAAAGTTTATTTGATATACGGAGGGAATTGAATTTGATAGCAATATTGCTTCCATCACTCTTCTAATATTCATGTACTGAGTTACTTTTTCTGGAGAAATTTTTGTACTTGATTTTAATCTCTATTTGCATGTGCTGAACTTATTAGCAACATGCAAGTAGTAACGTGTGTTAGATGGCCCAAATAAAATAGTTCGAATTCTTATTTTTCTAAATATGAAACCATAAATTTTTTGACGAATTGGCTAGCTAAAATTTCTAACTAAAATAAAAGTGTACATTAAATTATATAGAAAATTTGGCATAAGTCCAATTATGAGGAGAGATATTGGGTGCAATCCACGTAGAAATTGTTGTTGATCCAAGTCCTTTGACTTTTGCACCACATAAGATTACATGCCTTTTTCAATTTATTGATATTTACTTTTTTTTATTTTTTATTTTTTGTTCCAGTTATGCACCTAAAACATAAATAAGGTAAATTATGAATTCGTAAAACTGGTAAGTTATTGATTTGTAGGACATTAATTATCATATTTGATTTGAATTTAATTGCAAATCTATTTATTGAATTCTGAAATTTTCCAAGGTATACCTACATCAAAATTTGTAATAAGAGTTCATAAAAACTTCATACCTTAACAATAGGTAAGGTACCTATGCATACACCTCGTATGCAGTATGCAGGTAATTAAACCCATAAACTACCTTTGGTCCAGGTAATTAAATCCATAAATTACCTCTAGTCTAGGCAGGGGCGAATCCACAGAGGAGCAAGGGTGGTCAATTGACCCCCGCAACCCCTGAATCCGCCACATGAGGAAATAAAATTGACCCCTGCAAGGGCTGGATGGCTGGGCAATTCATGCCCGCCATCTGTTCGAGGAAATGCTTGAAAGGAGCACAGCACCCTGAGCGCAGCAAACAGCTTCGCGTGCAGCGCGCTTCTTTTATTTTTATCATCCTTTGCTCCAGGTTGAAACGACACCGTTTGTTTAAGTTTTTTTCTTTTAAAAACATATTAAAATAAACAGGGGCAGCAGCAACCTGCTACCCGATAAACCCCACAATCCCCAATACATTAGACAATTCAAATGAAATATACTATTCTGTTTCCAATTGTTTTTTTTTCTTTTCCCAATCTTTCTTTTTCTCTTTCTTTTCTTTTCAGTTTTTTCTTTTTGTATATATATTTTTTCTTTGTTCCTTTTGCTCTTTACTTTATGTTTACTTTTTATTTTCCATTTTTCCTTCTCATGTATTTTTCTTTATTAGTTTTTTCAATACTAGAAACATAAATAAGTAAGGTTCAATACATTGATATACTAAAATGCGCGGGATTACATGACAGCTCTTACATCGAATAAGACAAGACAGCTCGATAAGTGAAGAGATTTCAATTGAATTTTGCGGAAAAATTACCTAGCATGTCTCCGTCATTTGTCAGATGCTTTTCATTACCATTTAAACGAGGACGCTCTTCAATCAAAACTAAATAGAAAACATAATCAAAAATCAATCAAAAATGGAGTTTCTTTCGATTCATGAAGCCTCCACAGATTTGAATTTATTTTTGCTCCTCCTTCAAACCAATAAACAATAGATGAAAATGTTGTGTTTCCACACTTTAATTTCCATATTGGTTCTACCTTTGTGCAAGCTGCAAATATGCACAATGACCAATTTTTTCAATGCTCACTGTGCTGCTTCGGTAGCAAATGTAGGATTGTGTCTGCTAGCGAGGAACCAAGAGTGTGCCACATTGACTGCTCAAGTCACATCCTTGAAGGATGAAGTTGCCGAATTGCATAGGCATCAAACATGCAAACCGACATATAGAAGCACTAAAAAAGAAAAATCGAGACTTTGTTGAACTGGTGGAGGTCTTACAGACTCGTGTATCAAGAAGAGACAGATAAGGATTTGAGATGAAGAGATGCAATTCTCTTTGATAATGAACATGAGTATTTTATATGGTTTTATCTATTAACTATGAATTAGAATATTATCGTTTCATTTCGATGGGTATATTTTCTATAAAAAAAAAAAATTTAAAACCTTTTACACGTTGACCCCTGGAATTAAAATTTCTGGATCCGCCACTGCCAGTTAGTTTGTGATTACAATGCAATTTGATCCTTCTCTAATTCAATACTCTATGTCATATTCTCGGGATATGGTAAACTTGTGTCAAAATCCCTAATATGACATATCTTGATTATATGATTCAATTTGATGAAATTGAAAACGTTCTTGTTTCAATTTCCATCCAATACTTTGGCCAAAGATTCACGAATCATATCTTTAGAGTATTCTCTCTTCTTACTAAGAGCAAAGATTCCTTGTTGTACATTCACCCGTCTCTGTGTACACGCTGAGAATCCTGAGGAACACTTTTAAGTCACATCATTTTGATACGACTGTATAGTGCTCTCAAAGAGAAACAACATATACACAAGACAACTGTGATGTCTCAAGTATATAAGGAAACACTTAATTTTAGGAAAGTGTTTTCATATAATTCCATTTATGATAGTGGCATATCCTGTAAATTTTAAAAAAATTATGGGCATACTAATTGCTTAATTGGTGAGACTGGACTGCAATTAAAAAGAGAGAGCATGTGGATTGCATCCATTATATCTTGATGAAAATGGACCCATATCTAAGTATAAATCATGCTACTTAATTCATAGTTTCATTGACTAATTTCCAATAAGCTTTAACATAAAACAAATACATATTAAATGCAACAACAAAAATACACAATATCAAAATGAATATATGTTCAACAACATAATTAAAAATGTACTACTAAAGTTGCCCCTACGAACCTTGAGATAATTGAAATCTTTTGTTATTCCATATAAATTGATTTTGGTAGCCCAAAATACAAAGTAGGATACTAGATACTCTTGAGGTCATATTAGAATACTTTATTATATGGAATCTAAAGCCATGCCAATTCCACGTAAATTGTTAGCATTTCTCACTCTCACTCCACTATTTATAAGAATTAAGAAATACAAATTGTAAAAAGTAAACGATGAAATTAAATTAAGACTTTATTCATAGAAGACTTTATTACACTAGAATACTTTATTCATATATATATAGAATTCAACCAGACATTGAAAAAAAGCCAACAAGACCACAAAGTGGATGAGGGCCCAGCCACAAGTGGGGTGTGAGAATGGCATGTGATGGTCTACTGTTAGGTTTAATTTTTTATTTTTTCAAGTTACTAATATTTCCTAATTAACGTCATAAACGCTGGAAATTTCATGTTATAAGACTTTGTTGTACGAGCTCTTGTTCTGTAAGATACTCAAGGTTAAATAAAATCTTTATCTACACCATGTTTGACAACCAAACTACCAACTAATGCTTATGGCTGCTAATAATGGACTGAGTTGAATTGAGCACATAGCCCGACAAAAATTCTGTGTGACCCTAGAATTTTATGGTGCTTAGAAACTATTTGTAGAATTTTGAAGAAAATATTTTGGATGTGATTAAAGGAAAGTACATGTTTTTCTGAGTTCGTAGTATTTTTCGGAGATTTTTTCGGAACTCGGATGAATATTTGGAGATCTAGGAGTATTGAAAATCAAGAAATGGTGTGGCTAAATATTGGGCGTCCAATCCTTCACTGGTAATCTGATCCTGCGACTATCCTTAGGCCAGGTAAGAGACACGTGTCATGTTGAGTGTTGACCACTTGAGCCAGCTTAGCATAGGT